TTGCACATATCAACATAAAGAGTTACAGTCATTGAATGATTCGCTCTAATGTTTTGTGGTAAACGAGATGGTTCTGCAATGTCTTGCGAACAGTCAACAAAAATGAACACAAGCAGTGCAAAAATCAATTATCATTAATTTTCTTAAAGATTAAATTTAGTTTATTTATTTGAAATGTTTGAAGACCATTTGCTACTCGATTTGTTATATACAGTGCGATCAAAAAGTCTTTCTATCAAGTAGGCGTCCTAGTTGAGGACGTATGTTGCATGACAGTTCGTATGTTATCTAGATTGTCAAAAAAATATTTTATAAAAATTAAAACATTGAGCTAATTAAATTGAATAAGATTTTGTTGGTGTTTATTCATAAAAATCGTTCACCACGGTTTCCTGTCATAATTTACATAAAAAAGATTTTGACATTTCTCATTTGTCATTGTGACATTTTATCTTCCATACACATAAGTTTTAAATTTCTACGCTTGCTTGACAGACAGTCTTTTTGATCGCACTGTATTTAAGAAACAAAGTTATGCGATAATTGTTGTGAGGTGTGTATATTGTATTATGCAAATGCCATGAACTCATTTTTTTTTAATTAATTTTTATAAATAATCGGCTCAATGATTCACAGAAACCGTTAAAATCTTGAACACACCACGCATGTAAATAATGTTATACATAACAGCCTTAGACGTTTATACATGTGCGATTGTTATGACATTTACTACATCCAAGGTATGTTAGTAGATATTATACCAGATAAATAAAAAGTATCGAACCAAACGTTTTTTCTTTAAACTATTTATTTTTTGAAAAAACTAATGAACAAATCGTCTTTCCCAACGAAAACTATAGTAACTCATAAAAATTGGTTTTTGAGTACGATGGCTTATGTAGAGCCCAAAATACAAAACAATGAGATTTTTTTTTAATAAACAATATTATTACCAAAATATGTATAGACTCTTAGCAATTATCAATAATATTAGACAGTTCCCTGATTTTTATTAACAATCAAAGTTTCAATGAAATTTTTCTCTAAATTGTAATTTTTGAGTTACTATAGTTTTCGTTGGGAGTGTGGAAATGATAAAGTATAATACTATTGTTTGGGCTTCTTTTTAGTTTTTAGTTTTAGTTTTTTTGCGTGCGGGTTGCAATAACACGTCGCATTTTGGCCGATAAAAGTTATTAATTAGGTATTTGTGCCGTGTCGTCAAAGTTCTAATTTTCCCTATTTTTTCTTCCTGTCTGTGACAATAAGCAGATGTTTTAACATTCGGTATTTTCTGATTTTAGTTACAAGATCTAATTTCGCGCTTTAAGAATTATAAAAATGAGACGATCTATTAAAAAAAATTTTTTTTAAATTTCGTTTTCGAGTTCTGGATTTTTTTAAATGGCAAACCTTTTTTACAAAGACCACATATTATTTAATTTTTATTTATAATATAATATTCATATAAATTACCATTTAGAAAAAAAACACGCATAACTCAAAAACAAAACAATGGTATATTAAGCATCAAGAACGGTAAGGATATTTTACCGAGCGAAGACAATTATTGTTTGGAGAAGGAGCGAAGCGACGATTGCCTGATGCTTATGACATATATTAGTCCGGTCAAATTAGTCATAAAAATAGTGGTCAAATAACGAAAATTCCGACAGAGCTAAATTTTGGTGGAGATCTTGGGTACACCATTAGAAATAAAGTGTCAAAAGTTCCCATCGATCCCATGTGTGCTAAAAAAGTTATTCGGGGTCAAAGGTCAACATTTGAGGTTTTTTTAAATTTCTCTCGAAAACGGTAAGTTTTATCACAAAAGTAGCCCAGACAAAAATTATAGATCTTAAAATTATAGTCCTTATATATATTTTTTCTAAGAATCACCATTCCTGAAATATCGCGATTCTAAAAGTTGAAGGAGTCACGTTCTACATTATATGTACATACAGAGTACGCCAGAACTCGCCAAATGGGGTAAGGTACCAGGAACATAGAAAAAATTAAAAAAAAATATATCTATAAAAATTTCAGAGTTTAAATTTTGCACTTTGACTCTTATTTATTTCTGTTGGAAAAATAATTTTCCAAGTTTTTTTGCTACAGGCTATTAGAAGCGGAAACAAAGAAGCTGTATCCTAAACTGTAACTAATTATAAACAACCTATACAAGGTCATCAGTATTATTAAATAGACATAACAAATGTCAAATATCAAAAAATAAATGTAAATAAATTTTTTGACAGATAGAATTTTTTAAACATTTTTTCAGTACTCTGGGGACTACCCAATTACTCCCTTTCAAGGAAATGCGCGATTTTTTGAACAGCCTGTATGTATTACCAAATAAATTCTTTTTAATTCTAATGGAATCGAGATATTTATAAGTTTAATGAAGAAAAATTTCAAGTAAGATAAAATGTTTAAAAAATTCTATCTGTCAAAAAATTTTGAGATTTATTTTTTGACATGTGACATTTTTTATGTCTATTTCATGATACTGATGATTTTGTATATGTTTTTTTACAATTATTTAGCAAAGGTACAAAAGTTTTGCCAGTAAAAGCCACAAGTCACATTAAACAGAGTTACAATTTAGGATACAGCTTCCTTGTTTCTTCTTCTAATAGCCTGTAGCAAAAAAAACTTGGAAAATTATTTATCCTACAGAAATAAATAGAGTCAAAGTGCAAAATTTAAACTCTCATAACTTCGAAATTTTTATAGATAGAATTTTTTTTTTAATTTTTTCCATGTTCCTGATACCTTACCCGATATCGCATTTTTCTTTGAGGCGCACTCTGTATGTGCATATCATGTAAAACGTGACTCCTTCAACTTTTAGAATCGCGATATCTGAGGAATGGTGATTCTTAGAAAAAAAAGTAGAAGGACCATTTTTGTAGATAATTTTAAGATCTATAATTTTTGTCAGAGCTACTTTTTTGATAAAACTTACCGTTTCCGAAAAAAATCTAAAAAACGTTAAATTTTGACCTTTGACCCCGAATAAGTTTTCTAGCATACATGGAATCGATGGGGACTTTTGTCACTTTATTCCTAAAGATGTACCCAAGATCTCCACCAAAATTTAGCTCTGTCGGAATTTTAGTTATATGAAATGTCTATTTTGACCGGACTATATTGCGCGATTGATTTTTGTTATTTTTTTAAATAAAATATCAAAAAACGTTCTAGAACGCCAAAATACTTTCTCGACGACTTTGAATGTTTACCGACGAGTTTGGGATAGCAACGACTGCAACGAGTAAATACAACCTACAGTCTTGGAAACAGACTTAGTAAACAATCAAATAGAGTCTAATCGCGCAAAAAGTATCATTCTCAATCACATATTTATAGCACTTTAATTTGTATTAATTTATTATTATGTGAAGGCAAATGTTTAAAAAAAGCGCTTGGTTCCATACTTTTTGTTGATTTTGTTCGCAAATTCTTTTATGTCAACGATAAAAAATACCTAGCACAAATAAGCAGTGTTTGATGTAAGTATATTACGAAGAAAATATTTTCGTGAGTTTTTGATGTTCAGATAGATCAATAAATCACATAATAACAAACTAAATTTAAAAACCAGTTTTTTTATAAATGAAATCTGACCTAAAGTCTGTTTTTTTTTTAAATGGAAATTACCAAGTCAAGATTTTGGTGAAAAAATTGGTAGCAGCTTGTTTTCATAGCCACAAATTTTGTTTGCTCTTTGTTTTTATCCCTAGAAATTTTGTTAAAAAATTATGGTTATGTGTACAAATTGAGATGTTGTCAAAATTTTGACTTTTATGAATCTTGTGGGCCTGTTTGCTCTTTGAAAGCGCTATAATTGAATACCTGAGGACAGACAACATTACCTAAGGTCTAAAGACGAAATTCAGTGCTAATAATTTTGATAGAAACACACCGCAAGTAAGTACAATGTTGTGGACAAAAATGAGGTTCTTGCTACAAAAACTTTGAAGAAAAAGCTTGTTTATACGGAAAAAAGTTATTTAGCAAAAGATACAAGTAGGTATTATGATGGTTGGCAATAAATTTTGTGTAATTGATTGAAATTAGCTCAAAGTTGATTCATTTTATAAATTCTTCTACAGCTTTAGTTTCAAAATTATTACTTTTTCAACTCATTCCTCAAAAAACGATGCACAAGACACTAATTTAATTGCATTCTTTCCGAGGTTCTTTCTCATTCATGTTCATTTTGTATTCTTGTCGATTTCTTGCTAAAAATTAAGAATATTTAGCAAACCTGCATTACAAATGTCATCTACATTTTAACGGGCCCTTTTTCTAACTTCCTGCTTGCGACCTATTCGTTTCCAAATTTCGAAAAACTGTTAAGTGTACCGAATTTGTTTCTTTTTTGGTGTTTTGTCTCTAAATTTTCTTAGACGATTTTTTGTGTTGACGTTTAATGACATTGTTTTCAAATTAATTCCAAAAACCGAAACTGCCAACTTCCTTTATTAAAATTACTATAAATGAATTTACTAGTGATGCCAATGTTAAGACTGTTTGGCATTTCCATTTAAAAAAAAAACAGACTTTATGTAAAATGAAAAATGAAAATTATAATATATCCTTAAGAGTAGGATTATCATATTATCTTTATTCCGCCGCAAGAAATTTTTGATCGATTTTTTATGAATGAAGAGGGAGTTTGTCTCGAATACTTTTATATTCAGAAGTAAGAATTCTTTTTATTACATTTAAGGGAGAAGAAAAGAGTGTTAAATAATTTTCCCTATAGGTAATTTGTAAATTGTTAAAAATAAGTACGTAATTGAGTTGGAACAATCATCAAGTTCTCAGTTGTGTGTATCGTTTACGCGGCGTTTGTGCTAACATTAAACATTGGGTCTTCTGGGTTTGGTAATCCTTGAGGGGTGAGGAGGCGGTGCTTACTACCCGATTCAGATACGAGGTCGGAGCAGAGCAGACAGCGGACCGCCAGTTATTCAACGGCAGTCGGAGAGAGGGAAGTGTTCCTCGAATTCGACACACCGCACGCGGACTAATAAATCAAAACTATCGGCAACGCTGTTTTCGAAATCAATGTGTGAAAAACGTGTGGCTAAAAACATGAAATCGTTTTAATGCCAAGTTGTGCGTATCCATTCATAACATGTGCAACGCAGTGAATATGTTATTGTTACTTGTAATCGTGCCCGTTGTGATTTGTGTTTCTGATAACTTTCTAAAGATGTTCGAGGGGCAAAAACCCCCAGTTGACCCTTGCTACGACGAAGACCGCCCCCGTCGTTGCATTCCAGACTTTGTAAATGCAGCGTTCGGTATCCCAGTAAAAGCGTCTTCTACCTGCGGTCTTCATTCACCTGTGCAATTTTGCGAAGTTTCCGAACCAGAGGGCAATTCCCAGTGCTACATATGCGACGACAAATCGTCTAAGAATCGATTTCCAGCATCTCACCTCACCGATCTCAACAATCCTAACAACGTGACTTGTTGGAGGTCTGACCCGTTGCTTCCAGTGACTTCCATTAATGCTGCACCAGATAACGTTACCTTAGTTCTCAGCTTAGGAAAGAAGTACGAGTTAACTTATGTAAGCCTGCAATTTTGCCCTAACACACCTAAGCCGGATTCAATCGCAATCTACAAAAGCATGGACTACGGAAAGACATGGCAAGCATTTCAGTTCTATTCGACTCAGTGTCGCAGAGTTTACGGCAGACCAAACAAAGCAACCATTACTAAAGTCAATGAACAGGAGGCACGATGTACTGATGCTCATCGGTATACGGGAGGTGATAATCAAGGTTTCGGACAGTCGTCCAGAATAGCATTCAGTACACTTGAGGGACGGCCGAGTGCTTTAGATTTCGACAATTCGCCGGTGCTTCAGGACTGGATAACCGCGACAGATATTAAAATCATTTTTAATCGTCTTTACATGCCTTTAGAGGATGCATCTTCAGAAAATTTTGATGTACTCGTTGACGAATTAAAAAATAAACAAACAGAAGACGACAATCAGACAAAAGAGCCAGTCGTCCAGTTAGTCAACGAAATGCAACCCTTAGAATCAGACGATCTAAAAACACCAATATCAGTGGAATTAACGTCAAATGGGGTGGCCGGTAGTTTTAATCAAATTACTCACCAATATGCTGTTGCCGATTTTGCCGTCGGAGGAAGATGCAAATGCAATGGACATGCAAGTCGCTGCATAACAGGTAGAGATGGACAATTAGCATGTGAGTGTAAACATAATACCGCTGGAAAGGATTGCGAAAGATGTAAACCATTCCATTTTGATAGACCTTGGGGCAGAGCCACTGCTCGGGACGCAAACGAATGCAAAGGTAAGAGATTAAATTTTATTTCAAGAATCGATACAATGCATGAGAAAAGTCCGCTGAATTATATTTGAAGGCAGCTTTTCTTAATATATTTTTATCTAAGAGCTTCTTTGAAACAGTGGATTCTTTACAAATGTCTATTTTCTAACAGCAAATAATTCAGTTTTTCGTCAATCTGTCATAGTAAAAATTAAGAATCTATCTGAAAATGCCAAGTTTTTGTAAAATGTCAATGAGTTCATCTGATATTTTTACTATTGTACCACTTTTGCTGTTATTCGAAGTGATGTTTATCGACACTGTCATCTATATCGCATTCCCATGTTGAGACAGACTATTTATATTTGATTGGCCAATAAGCCAAGCGGATTTACACGTGTAAAGTTTGGAGGGTCAAAGATTTAAAATATATTTTTTTAATGTAATACAAAAATGCTACGGTTACTTAACATTAATAAAATATGTAAGTAATAATTTCCACCTACAAAAAATGTGAGGTATTTTTAAGAAATTCCATTATAAAAATTGAAAGAAATATTCTCGGAGTAATATGTTTGTGACTTTACAAGTGTAACAGAAGAAAATTAGAAAATGATACAATGTTGCACTATATTAAATGAAGACCGAAATGTGTAAAAAGCTTATTACATTAAGCATTATATTCCTGTATTTTTTTAGATATTAATAACTGCGGCAAGAATTTCAAAATAAATGTTCGGCACATCAGTTGATACCTGTCATTATCCTTACTAATAGTAAGAATAATGACCGAATAATTATTACGAATAATTATTGTGAGTTTTTTTTTATTTTCGTGTTTTATTTCGGGTGGTTTATTGTTATTTTCCTTGCCGGGCTTACAGATTTTGTGGTAAGATGCATCAATTAAGAAAATAAATTAAATAATGTGTATTTTGTAATTATATTATAGGTATAAGAGTATACCTATTAATATGTGTGTGGGATTTCCAAAACTCGCGGCATTTTTTTTACTATCTTTATAAGTGACTTATACTGACTGCTTCACAACATATGCAAGAAATTTTTACAACATTATTTATATGGTTTCACTCGAAAAGTTGTTTTCTTAAATGTAAAAGCAGAAATTGTGATAAATCCTACACTAGCGCTCATAGTTAAAATACAAAACGAATTTTGCATCTTGTTTTTGTGAATTATTTTATAGAGTGTATTTTATAGCACAGATCACGTTTATAGTTAATTACATTATTTTTCGTTTGGTTTTCCTCTTGTGTCAAAATTATTTCACTATTACTCAAAACTGTTTACCACCTACGTCGCTTTGACATTAATGTATCAAATGAAATAGTTTTGAATTATAGTGAGATACATTTGACAAAAGAGGAAAACCAAAAGAAAAACATTGTATAGGCCGGACAGGTGTGACATGGGAGATACGTGGTCACATACAGAAAACGATTTTATATGTTTAAACAAATGCTTTAAGGACATACTTTTCAGAGAAAACTTTTAAAATAATAAAGAAAAACGACAACACAGTTCAAGAACACGTTTTTATCTTAGATGAGTGTTACTATGATCGAAGAACTTTAAAAAAAAATAAATTTTGTTAAATAACAATAATTAATCTATTGCGTTGTTCTTAGTGCTAAGCAAATGTTCCAATATTCACTAGCACACAAACTTATTTTCCCAGATGTATTAGTTTTTTTATTTCCAAGAAATTGTCAGATTTTGACAAATTCACAAAGTAATATTTGTTTTTTTTTTGGTAACGGGCAAGGTAATTTATATGTTGCCATATGTTGGATACATGAAGCTCGATTTTCTAATTTACTACAATATAAAAAAAATGTAAATGTTTACTTAGAACAATTTTATAAATTGTAAATTAAAAATAATTTTTGCTGCCCTTTTAAGGATTCATTATTTGTTGCCAAGTCTTTTCATGGACTTCAAGCAGGTGTTACACTTTTAAGAATGCCTAATAACTAAAAATTTGGTTATTTTTATTTCTATTTAGTGATGTAATTCTTATATAGGTATGTCGTGCCACAGTCTTCGCCACTGCTGTCACTTTTCACGATATTTTTTCTGTATGAAAGAGTGGAACTTTTTGGCTCAAAATTTGTCAGTAGGGTTAATTTGTAACACATAGTCTTCTTTTATACAGAAAACAAATGTTTCTGACCTATTTCACCTCAAAAAACGAAGTTGCTACGTGCCAGGGTGGCGGTTGCTATGGCACAGGTAATACCTTTAAGCTTGTCCGACCTTTTTGACACACCCGATATAGTTATGGGCCGATAAGAAGCAATAATGACAGACGTGATTGAATGTTATAAAATCAAGGCGACAGCCGAGTTATTATAATGACAGAGGTCCATGGGCGCCCGGAGAAATTATTGATTGCATCTTACAGGCGCGGGCCTCGTAAAATTATGTGAAACACCCTGTATATTGTCCTAATTGAATGTTTTGTAAATCATTATTTCATTTTAACGTTTCTGTGAAATATAAATGTTTTGATTATCTCAATACTGCATTTTTTGACATATTGATATTTCGCACAAACACCGACGATATAGTTCATTTCATTTGGCTTTTTATACAACTCTCAGGAGGGCACATGTCACAACCCACCACTCAACTCGCTAATCCAAAAGAACCTCCGCTTCTCGTATTTCACCTTTTTATTGAGCTTCGATAGGGGCTGACTTTACTAAATTATGACCCGTTATTCTGATTAAGTACTTATGCAAAGCCTATTTTTAGAAACTCAACACATAATATTAGGAAGTTGATCCCTTTTGTGACAATAACTTTAGTTGTTTTTATATTGTTTTTTGTTGACTTTTTTAAGAAAGCGATTTCTCATTGAAAATTGTAATTGCAAAAATTTTGTTGTGAAACACCCGGTATGGATTTTATCTTGTGTTCTTGTTTCTTCCTGCTTAACAAATAAAATATGTAGTATAGGTATTGTTCAGGTTGTTCCGTTTAAGAATTATTATTATGACTTATGATTTTTAACATTATTCTTTTGAAGACTTTTATACATCTATGATAGGTGAGGTTCTACTCAATGAAAATATTTTTAAGGTGGCAGCACTTTCGGTTGTACTGGAAATTGGTATGCACTTCGTTATTTTTAGAATGTTATGTTTTTTTTTGCCTTTTTGGATTGCACAAGCTATTTTGAAAGAGTTTTTATCAGCTTTTCCAATATCAAAAGATTAGCCGTTTGTGAAATTGTTTTCGTTCTTGTTTGCCAATTTTTGCATTTAAACTTCAACTTTTCGCTCCAAATATCTATTTCTGTCATTTTTTAATACATGAGTGTTCATTTAAAAAAACTCGCAGTAGGCGAACGTGTGGCGTCGTATGTATCTACCACTAATAAGTTTTAATTATGTCATCTTGACAGATGAATGAATTAATCAAAGACATGCAAAATATTTGTCAAAGCACTTTTAAGCTTTTTTTAAATGAACACATGTGATTTTGAAATCGTTTTTAGATATTTGAAAGAGAAAGATGGGTATTCAGCTTAAGTGTATTTATAATTGAAAAAATGTTTTTGAACTCACTGCCGTCAAAGTGATATTTCGCAAACGCAACAATTAACCGCGAACGTAAATTTTGCGCACTGATGTAAACTTCGCACACTAGTGCTTCAAAATCACCCAAAAAGCACTGGCCTTTATATTAATTATTATTATTATTATTATTGACTTGATAATAGTAAAATCTGCTTTACAAAAAGCCACTTTTCCAATGTGGATGTTGAAAATATTGAAAGAATAAAATTATATCGCTATTACAAATAATTTGATTGATATTTTGCAAGCTCATAAGCGCTAGAGCGAGCGCCATCTATTATTCACTATTGGTAACAGTCAATTTTATTAATAAGAAAAAATGTTATTGTTCGCTTCAAAAAATAATGTACGAGCCTCAATGCGCAAATGAAACATCAAATCATCAAATATATGTCAGTTTAAAAAACGTCAATTTAAGCCACGCTTTATTGTCATTATGATTGACTTTTGAAACTAAAATTTGAAAGTTTTAGTTGAAATTTATTTTTTGCGTCTATTTTCCGAAACAATAATGCTAGCAATACGTACTCACCGGCATAAAATTCCATCCATACTTTATTTTCTCGATTTTTTTTTTTTTTGGTCAGAGAACTTTTAAACAGAAATAAGATATATTTCCAACTATTGTTAAAACCAACAAACGCAAAAATGAGCACGCGATAAAATTTTGAGAATTTTTTAAAACTTTTTTTCACTCTTCTTTTATCATGATACCTATTTTAATGCCTTTTGTCATTATTCTTGTCAATATTTGAAGAGCATAGAAGTAATTTAGCCTTCTAAAAGTAAATATGGTGTTAAATCCAACGGAAGCGGCTAGAGCAATTGCTTTAGTTTAAGATGGTAGATCGCAATATTATGCAGCTCGTGTTCTTGGAGTTTCGAGCTGTAAGGTGCAGAGAGCTGCAGAACGGTTTCGCGAAACTGGGGGCTACACTAGGAGAGTCGAATCAGGAAGAAAGCGATGTACTCGAGATGATCATTTTCTCAGACTGCAAGTATTGAGAAATAGGGACACATCAGCTGTTCATGCTCGTAACTTGTTAGAAGAGCTAAAACGTGTGACAATAAGCAAAAGAACAGTAAGAAGAAGACTCAAGGAAGAAGGATTAGTTGCAAGGAGACCAGTAAATGGCCCCAAATTGGCCAGAGAGCATCGAGTCGAGCGACTACATTTTGCTCATGAACATGAGAATTGGGGTGTTGCTGATTGGAGCCGAGTTCTTTGCTCTAATGAGCCGAGGTTTTGTCTTCCCTGTTATGGTCTGGGCTGGCAATAGTTTGGAAGCTCGTACCGAGTTAGTCATTGTAGGTAGAGGAACAATGACTGCTGATAGGTACATCAGAGACATTCTGGAACCCTATGTTGTGCCTTATGCACCATTTATTGGTAAAAATTTCATTTTTATGCACGATAAT